CAACACCGTGATTTCCACTGGAGGGGATACCATGGATCGCTTGGTTGCTATCAGAAATTCAGAGTTCCAGGATTATCCGGAATCCGAGCAAGATGAGGACTCAGACACGGATAACTTTCCTGCATTGGTTAGATCCATGTCCACATCACGTAGACACAGCTGGGAAGTGCCAGTGTCGCCGATTGACCTGGGAAGAAGGTAAGACTCACTTTTTCAGTGGGCCCAAATGGTGGTCCTCAAAAAATGTCTAAATGTCATTGCCATATCTAACTGTGATGTTAGAAAATCTTTTAGAAGTGTTTGTCATTTGTTTGGTAACGGAGTGTGTCACACTGTTGTATGCGTGTATGTAAAAATTGCTCGGTTATGTTGTGTAGGTTCAGTCTAGACACTAATGGCATTGACAGTGATGGGGAAAGAGAGGTCCACTGTTTGACCAAAAGTCCCCTTCTACCATCTTCCTCCTTCTCCGAAAGCTCAGTGGAAGAAACGGCGGGTGCTGTGGAAAGTGAAAGCCCCAAAAAAACAGTAAATGTCTTTACGGAAATCTGTGTCTTAGTATGAACAGAGCAAGACTTTCACATAGCTCTATAAACCATACTCCTGCTCCTGGAGGACTACCGTCCTGCTGAGTTTAACTCCAACCCTAACCAAACATACCTGAACAAGCTAATCAAGGTGCTCAGGATTACTTGAAAATGAAAGACCGGTGTGCTGGAGCAGGGGTGGAACTGAATTCTAGCCAGAAGGTATCCCTCCAGGAGCAGGGTTAGCTTCCTATGCCGTAACTCTTATTGATGATATTTTCACATGATTTGGTTTTAACAACAGAAGCCACCTACACCAGCAAAGACAGTATATTCCAGATCTGAGATTCTCGCGACTGATGAAAAATCCCAAGCTGACAGAGTCTCCCGCATACTGGAGACTTCTAAGCAGGCTGCCAGAGAGGCTGGAGGTTAGTGAAATGATTCTCCAATTAGGCAGAAAACTCCAGTCAGGTTTTAATGGGTGGTAGCTTTGACGCAATCAGATAAATCCAATGCTAATTATGTCAGGAGGAATTCTTGGATTAAAAGAAGCAAAACACACATTTTACCATTTAAAGTCTTCCACAATGACCTTTTTTTTATTCTGTAGTTCTATAGATAAACTATGTTCTGGTACTTTCAAAAACCCAGAAACCAAAACACTGATCTGAATAACCTGTAACTTTTTGAAACTCCACGGAACCAATAAATGTTTTATATATATATATATATATATATGTATGTGTGTGTGTATGTATGATAATAATAATTAATCTATAGTTAAATTAGATTTTAAAATAAATTAAACAAATTAAATAATTACATTAAAATTCAACAAAAATTATATTCACTGAAACAAATACCACCATGTATACTGACAAATGTACTTTATGCTTTATATTCTATATATTTTTAATTTTATAATTTGTTGAAAAATGGACTTAATTGTCATGAAATAATAATAAAGTAAAACCTTAAATATATGCCTAAATTTATCCAGTCTTTCCTAAAATTACATTAAAAAATATTGAATTGACCGAAACAAATACTAACATGATGTATGTCCTTTGCAACTTATATTTAATAAAAATATATTTTACTTGTTTATTTTTTTGTATATAAAATAGCATGTTGAATTATAAATATCAATAAAATTATATGTATTTTTATTATTATTATTATTATTATTATTTATTTATTTTGCTTTTGGGTGAAATACATCCTGGACATTTTTGGTGAAATTTTTTTTTTTCTGTCTTTTGGTAACTATGATATGTTAAAGTTACACGTCTCTTGATTCCTCTGTTTTCAGGGTAAGACTCGAGAGAGAGAGCAGCAGAAAGAGAAAAGCAGAGAGAGAGACAAGGACAAAGAGAAAGAGTTGCGTGAGCGTGTGAAAGTGCGGCGCCGCAGCGTGAGCGGCCACCAGCTCGTGCCTGGCTCATTCTCCACCTGGGCGACATGTTCACTGTGCAGCAAGACCCTGCAGAGGAAGCATGGCCTGCAGTGCTTGAGTGAGTAACCCACGACCACAAACACACACCTGTGCATGCGCTCAGCTGCTCCACCAGAGTGCATGTCACAGTCAACCCAAGACTTTCTCACAGTTTTAATGGGGCTATTGCATCTTTCACGGGGTTTCCTTCGATTATGAGCTGTGTTAATCTATCAGCCTCTTGACCCACTGACTCAGTCTGTCACGTGAAGCAATGTTGCTCGAGCTTCCGCTGTTTTGCAACCTGCTTTGTGCTGCGGAGAACTGCGGGTCTGCCTACAGATGAACTAGTTTGATTTGATCAGGTTTCTAGTGACTGAGGGAGTTTACAAGAGAACTTAAAGGGACAGTTCACCCAAAATTCAAATGGCCTTTATTATAAATATATGTTTTGCATTTCACATTTTATTTATTTGTTTGTTTTTGTTTGGTTGGTTATTTGTTTTTGTTTAACAAAAATAATAAATATAAAGGGTGTCTAGCCCTGTTTTTTTTCTTAAATTTAAATTTAAAAAAATACATAAATTCAGCATAAATTATTCACTGAAATAAATACTATTATGATTATTTATAATTATAAATAACATGAATGACATAAAAATAGAACATGTATTTTAAGTAAATAATAGGTAAATCCCATAAAACATTCAAGGAACTATAGTTTTTAAAAATCTTATTATTTGTAATTTGTTCTAGAACGTAAATCCCAAAAACCATGCAAGGATCGCATTTATTTATTTATTTTGTGTTTGTTTGTTTGTTTTGTTTACACAAAATCGCAATGCCATTGGTTTTGTTGTTGTATTGTTTTTATATTTTCCGCTATATTTTCAGCTATTTATTTTGATGGATAGATGGAATGATAGTACTATGCATATTTATATACTTATATTGTATATGTTTTGTCTCTTTGTTTGTTTGTAGATTTTTTTTATTTTATTTTTTTGTATATTAAAACATAACTTTTTTTGTTGGTAAAAGATAGTATTTTATTTATTTATATATATATATATATATATATAAACGAGCATAAAGTAGTAAACATAGTCCAAATGACTATATTCCAAGTCTTTTAAAGTCTCATGCTAACATATGAAAATATATATATTTTTTTAATCGGACTACTTTTCTGTTGTGGTTTGTTTGTTTGTTTGTTTGGGTTTGTAATGATGTACGGGTGGTAAATAATACCATAATGCTTAAGATGTTGTTGGCCATTCAGGGTTTCTGTAAAAAGAAAATAAAGGTTGAAGGTTCGAGTCTCTGTACCGGCAGGGATTGTAGGTGGGGGAAGTGAATGTACTGTGCTCTATTCCACCTTCAATACCACGACTGAGGTGAGACCCTTGAGCAAGGCACCGAACCCCCAACTGCTCTCTGGGCTCCACAGCAAAAATGGGTGCCCACTGCTCCGGGTGTGTGTGTGTGCACTTGGATGGGTGAAATGTAGATCACAAATTCTGAGTATAGGACACTATACTTGGCTACACATCATGTCATTTTAATTTAGATTTTTTAGGGGATCTGTCCCTTTAAGAATCACTGTGTTGTAAGGTACCAGGGTCATTAATTCAGCACTACATTGGTGTTTACCATTAGTGTCACTTCAAATAAGTCACAAGTTGTTTCAGTAAGTTCCTGAAGATGCTCATTTAGAAACTGAGTTAATTTGTTGACTGTTTATTTCCCTATTTTAGGAAGACTTTTTTTGTATTCAATGTTTGTCAATGCCAGACTTTACAGAAAAGGAGAAACAAAAGTGTTGCTGTAACTTTGAGTTCCTTAATGCCTCATATTCCCCTCATATTCTACTCTAGCAAATAAGAAGATTAAAAATAGATTTGGGGGGGGTTACATTAATTTGTTGCATGTTTCCACCTTAATTTGATCAAATCAGCTTTAATATACAGTATAATAAAAATCTATTAATATTTAATAACATTTATGATGAATATAAAACGTGTATATATATTGTTGGTATATGTGGTATCCCCTGGACAGTGTGCTTGTCTTAAGAGTGACTCGTGTGTTTATTCAGAGTGACAAAAGCAACCGTCATCAAGTCCAAGCTGTAAATTTAAAGCCCAGGTGGCGACTGGGAAATATTATGTATGACTCTTTGCGTGGCACTGCTTATTAAACAAGTCATGCTGATGTATTTCCTTAGACTTGAGGCTTCAGAGGAGGGATTCTCTCTTTAACCAGTCATGATCATTCACGTTCAGGTTTATTACAGGAGGCATAAAGTAATCACTACTAGTGTTGGGCGATATGCTTCGTAGTCATATCGTCCTATCATCAGCCAGTGAGATCACCGAGAGATACACGATATTTATCATGCTAAATAATTTCATTATTTACTAGACTAAAAGCAGCCTAATGTTAGTGTAATCTATCGACTACACATGATGTCTTTTTAGGCAAGCAGCATATGGATGTCATGTCAAACATTTGATCAAATATATTACTATTACACATAAAATATGACTTTTTAATGAATTAGTATTTAGCATAGCAACAGTTTAATAGAAACATTGTAAGTTACTAATTATAAAGCTTACATTTCCTCGATTATTCAAACCGCAGCTACAGAAAACGAGCAAAGAATATTTACATTATCAAAGAACATCAAGACTGACTTCAGTATAGCGCGAGTTTATGCACTCCCGTTATAATCAGTGAAGCTATCGGCACTGTATTTGATGAATAAATCTCTTATACTTACAACGTACTCGCATCTGCACTTTTTTGTTTATGATGAGAGAATTTGCGAGAGATCAGAATTCAGTCAGCGATCGCGCGTGCTGAACAACAAAACTCCGGTATTTCAGCGATGACTCATCTGAACGCCTCTGATTGGCCGCTGCATTCATAAGCTCAACGGAATCGTGTGTGATTGGTTATAATGCTCAACACTGTAAAAATGCGGGAAAAGAAATATGATGGAACAAATATGCCCTAATATTAATTAAGATAATAATAATAATCGTCTCTCGATATTGTCAAATTTAAGGCGATATCTCGGACTAGCGTCGATACACGATATGATGTATCAGCACAACCCTAACACTAGTTTGACGTTGAAATATTACACTAGATCTGTAATGCGCCGTGATATGTCATCAGCAAACTTCTGATGGATTTGCAGATTATGGGTGACTTCATTTAAACGAAATTTGGTAAAAGGGTAGATCAGGGCTAGTAACATTTCCATTGTTAACATGTATAGCAACTAAGGCTATATTTTGCATTTAATATTTGCACTATGACAGAAAAAATAAAATCTTTTTACGTAAGTCACAAAAACCATACAAGGATCACATTGGATCAATATTTATCAATCAATCACATATTTATTTGTTTGTTTACACATAAAGAGAAAATCCTATTTTTTTTTATTTTCAATATTTTTTTATATTTTCAGGGATCTAAATTGGTGGATAGATAGAATGATATTATATTTTATTTGTGTGTATTTTATATTTAAATTACAACGCAAAAAATAGAAAGTAAATCCCAAAGTCCATAGAACGATCACAAATATTTTCTGCACACCAATAAAGACTTTTAAAAAATGTTTTATTTATATGTTTTAAAATGCATTATAAAAAGATTTTAAGAAATGTAGTGTACAAATACACTGAAGGTTTTTTCCAAAACGAAAAAGAAACACTAGTGCAATCCTACATACAATAAATACTACAGTTCTGCAGGATGTTGACCAAGCTATACATAGATAGTATCCAAAACTAGGCTGACAAATAAACAATTTCTATGTGTATTTTTTCCAAATCTTTCCTATTTAATAAAAAAAATACTTTTGATAAATTTTTTTTTAAAAAGTAAAATTGATAAAATGATGGATGGATGGTTGGCTGAATAGATATGTTTTTTTTATATATATATATTTTTAGAAACTAAAACTTAAAATTGTATCCATTCATTATGGAAATATGTGAAAATGTATGCTTGCTGATATATTTAGAATTTATATATTCTAGAAAGTAAATCCCAAAAACCCTGCAAGGATCACATTTGTTTGTTTGTTACACAAATAAACAAATCCTTAGTTTATATATTTTTCCCTTTTTTTATGTTATCTTTTAGTTAATGGATAAAATGATGGATGGATGGACAGATTTTCTCATCCATTCATGATTCATTAAAATATGTGAAAATAAAAGGGTTATCTTTTAGTTAATGGATAAAATGATGGATGGATGGACAGAGTTTCTCATCCATTCATGATTCATTAAAATATGTGAAAATAAAAGGAAGATTAAAATGATAAAATATATTTTTAAAATGTATTTTTATATATATATATATATGTACTATTTATTTTATTATTTATTGACTCACAACCACACTGAAAATTCAAACCACTCCAAACATTCCAAAATCGCGCCTGTCGCTTTAAATTTGGGACTCAGCCTGTGTGGAATGCGCCTCTGGTCCCATAATGCCGCGCGGCGCAGTACTGGGACAGTCAATCTACATACAGCAGTCGCGATTGGCGCTGCTTTTTTAGGTTGCCAGGTGATGTGTCGTGTGTTTTTGTGCGGCTGTCATAGTAACCTGAGTGATGTTTGAGGCGACGAGGCCGTAAAGCGCGTCCACGGCGTCATAAACGGTGAGTTTGTTCAGAGTAGCAGGTGTTTGCTAACAGAGCTAATAAACACAGAGCCGCTAAAACGCCTTCAAACTCTTTTCGAACGGCTGCGTTTTAGCTTCTTATAGGTAAACGTTCAGCTACAGGTGGCTCTTTTTAACTTTTTAAATGACAGTTGTGTTAAAATAGCTGAAAGTTTGCTCAGTTGCTGGTTAAGAGGTCAGCTGGCCATTGTGTTTAGTTTCATTGGCTAGTCAGCCAGGTCAGTGTTTATGCTGGACTCCAGGAACTTCAGTCAAACACTCGCAGACATGTTAGTTGGCAGGCTGTATTCATCACTGTCGTTAATTTATTCATCGTAGTCGTTCGTTTGGCTAATTGCATTACATTGAGATCATTGTGTGCAG